AAAAAAAAAAAAAAAAAAAAAAAAAAAACCTCCGCGTTGAGAACTTGACAAAATAAATGCACATCTCAGAAAGGTCCACTAGGGGCCAAGGAGAAGGCTCAGTAGAATATGCACTTGCCTGGCAAGTGCAAGGGCCTGAGTTCAATCCCTGGTTCCACCAAAAAAAAAGAACGAACGGTAGGTTCACTAACTAAACAGAACAGGCGCCTAACGTAGTGTTACTGTTACTTTAATAGAGAGAGAAGAAATTTAACCCTATGACTGCTTCAACTTTCTAAAAGAAATCAATAGCAGTTGGACTGGGACAATTCTGAAAAGCTCCCAATATTTTATTTTATTTTATTTTTTGTATTTTAGGAAAGGGTCTACAGGGTGTTCAGGGTCTCACTACAGATCGGACTCATAATGACCCACCTGTTTACAGCCTCCCAAGAGCTAGGAGTACAGGTACGTGCCACCACGCCCAGTCTCAACTGCCGGCTCAGTGCGGGGCCAGCACGGCAGGTCCAGGGATTAGCCCCTGCGCCTTAATCCGCTGAAAAGAACAAGCCAATCATGTTTTTCTTTTCGTTTGTTTTGCAGTACCAGGGACTAAACTCAGAACCCTGTGCTTGCCAGGCATGCACTTATCCTACCGAGCTATCTCCCCAGCCCCAGGCTCCCAATATTTTAGTTATCTCCTATTCTTTTCAAGAACTGCCCTGACCAGAGAGAGAGCTCAGCAGAATAAGCCTGGCAAGTGCAAGGCCCTGAGTTCAATCCCCGGTACTGAAAAATAAAAATAAAAAATAAGAATTGGCCAGGAAGATAGCTCAGCAGAATAAGCTGAGGACCTGGCAAGCGCAAGGTCCTGAGTTCAATCCCCAGTACTGCAAAAATAAAAATAAAAGAACTGCCCAAACAATTATTTTATTCTATTTATTTGTTTATTTATTTATTTGGCAGAACCAGGGATTAAACTCAGGCCCTTGCGCTTGCCAGAGAAGTGTGTATTCCACTGAGCCATCTCCCTGGCCCCCAAACAATTATTTTAACAGCGTCAAAAATTATTAAAAGATTCGAAACCTGGTCCTAAGCAAGGATAGTGGTACATGTCTAGTCTTAGCACTCGGGAGCCTGAGGCAGGAGGAAGCTAAGACAAAAGGATTGTTAGGAGCTCAAGGCCAACCTGGGATACACAGTGAGATCAAGTCAGTTTGTACTACATAGTGAGACCCTGTCTCAAAACAAAAAACAAAAACGATGGCCCTGAGAGGGGGCAATGAAATAAAGAGTACTTCTCTCTCTTCTCACAAGTATAATATCAAGCAAACAGGCCAAGGAGATAGCTCAGCAGCATAAGCACATGCCTGGCAAGCGCAAGCTCCTGAGTTTGACCCCTGGTACTGATATATCAAGCAAATGTTAACAAGCTGCCCACCTCCTCTGATTTTACCATCTGTTTTCCAAAAGAATCTTCTATTTTATTTTGTTTTTGCTTTTGTTTACTGGGGATTGAACTCTGGACCTTGTGCTTGCCAGGCAGGTGCTTAAGCCATTGAGCTATCTCCCCAGCACCCAAAAGAATCTTCTGACCAAGGAGATGGTTTCTTTCAAAATTAAACATTCAGAAGAGACAAGATTCTCAAGTATTGTTGCTTGACTTCTTAGTCATCTTAAAGAGTCTTCAGGACACCTATGTAGATCTAGGTGTGTGGTAGTACAAACATGTAATCCCAACACAATCCCAAAATTTGGGAGGCTGAGGCAAAATGATTGCACGTTCAAACCCAACCTTGGCAATTTAGCAAAAACCCATTTCAAAAAAAGGGGGGGAGGTATGCAGTTCTGTGAGCAGATCCCAGGTTCAATTACCAGCAGGAGGAGAAGAGAAGAGAAAAAAGAAAAAGATACCTGTAAGAAGATGGTAAGGTGTCATGGGTGAGAGATGTGCTTTGGAGCAGTCAGAACTCTTTCTTAATCTGAATACTCTAACTCAAATCTAGCCGCCTCCTATCCTCCCATCAGGAAAAGGGTCTGACACTGTTTTCTTTGAGGAAATACAACTAGTACTGTTAAAAGTTAATCTGAGGGACTGGTGAGATGGCTCAGTGGTCTAAAGCACCTACTTAGAACAAGCTTAGGGACCGCGGTTCAATCCCCCAGCACCACATGCCATCCAGCCCCGCCCCCTGGTGGGCTGAGCTGGCCACACACACACACACACACACACACACACAAATAAAATAAAATAACACTTTTAAGTTAATCTGAAAGCTAAGCGTGGTGACAATGAACTGTAATTCCAGCACTTGAGAGGCTGAGGCAGGACCATTATGAATTTGAAGAGGGCTTGTGCTACATAAGGAGTTCAAAACTGGCCTGAACTACATAGCCAGACCCCTGTCTCAAAAAAAATTTTTTTTAAAAAGTGTGGCAGTTCCACAACAAAAACAAGTTTCATTTCTTTTTCCAGCTGTAACACACTCATACATTTCCTGCCTCTTGATCAGAATATCTCTTCAATAGACAAAATTGAGTCATCACCATAGGATTCACTTTCTCCTACACCACACACTCCAAACAGTGGTGATTGAGCACCAAGTAAATTACACTCCAAAATGAAATCCAGGAATTAACGAGCAATTTAACCAGGCCCCTCAAGAGGAAGCACACGGACTTCAAGGAGCTCGCGAAGCGCCCAGAGGGTCTCAGAAGGCAGCCCGCCAGAGCAGCTCTGCCCAGCCAGACTCTCAGGGATGTGACACTGGCCAGCCCGGCTTACCAGGGCTCTGGCCTACCTTGTCTAGCGTTAGTCTCGAGCGGCCTGAAAATCCGCGCATCCGCGCATCTCTCATAGCAACGCTGCTCCCGGAGAGCTTCAGGCTTGCGCTAGGCACGTTTCAGCGCCCCGGAGCGGGGGAGCCCGCGGGTCGGGTCAGAGATCCTAGTTTCCCGCTATCCGCCGCTGGCCCGAGTTTACGCGCTCCCTAACGTCCACCCCGGCGGTCCTCCCAGCATCGGCGCCAGCATTTGGAAGGCTCGGCCGGCGGCCGGTCAGGATGCTCCAGCGGTGCTCGGCCTAAACCCCAGCCCCGCGCGCGCCCTCTCCAATCCAGCGCCCGCCACCACCCTCCACTAGGCGTCAGGCGGGTCTTTCGGCCCGGCTCCTGTCACTCACCCGCCCGGCCCGGGCTGCGGGCGCCCAAGGCTCCCCAAGGGAGCTGAGCCCCCTGGGCCTCCAGGTTTCAGCCCGCCCCTGGCAGGCGGCGCAGGTGCTGAGCCCCGCAGCAGCGGCCCCGCAGCAGCGGCCCCGCACAGGCCGCTGGGTCCAGCTCCCAGCGCTGCTCACTGGGTAAGGATCAACAACAAGATGGCGGCCAGCCGAGGGGGCGGGGGCCGGGCGTCATAGTAACCAAGGGGCAAAGAACCCGCCCCTAACTGAAACTATCACCAATCAACAGCCTCTTCGTCCGAGGCCCGGAGGAGCGCTTCCCACTGAATGGTCGGCTGGCCCGTCAGGCAGAACCTGCCTCTCACGCCAAGTGCGGAACGCCTGGAGCACGTGACTGTGACGGCATTAGTTGGCGCATGCGGCGAGTTGTCGGAGTCGCTGACGGCGGAGCGTTAGCTGGTTATCCCAGGCCAGAGCGCCCTTGGCTTGGCGTCATTGTCTGCGCAACCCCTGCGTGTGGCTCACACAGCGTCTTGTACTCAGGCGCATACTTAGGAGACTCAGCTGTGTGCTGTTTGATTTCTTCGTGATGGGATGCTGCGGGGGAGTGAGGGTCCGGCCCCGGTTCCCTAGTAAGGAAACTGAGGCGAAGGGGGAGGCTGCCCCAAGGTCATGCCACTTCTGAAAGTGGAGGCTCTGGATCCTGCACCACCTACTTCCTCTTGAGTATAAAGAGCCTTCTCCCAGTGGCTTCCCCAGCTTCACTCACTAGTCCCAAAATGCAGACTACTGTGTTGCCTCAACAGTATCTGACCAAAATGTTCATGGATTAAGGCCCCAGCAGGTCCTGGCCCGCACTGAGCACTCCCTCTGCTCTACTTGTCTTGACTTCTTATGACAGCATCTTTTGCCCAGGACCTGCCTCCGAGGCAGACCTTAAGTCCTATGAGATGGTTATCCTAACCTTGAACTGAACTTCAAGGTCAAGTCCAAATGCAGGCACAGGGCCTGGCCCCCCATCCCAAGGCCTCAACTAGCTAACAAACTCAATGACTTCTGGGCCTTAGTCATATAACGATTCCCAAAGATGTTATTTAATGAACACTTAGAACAAGCTAAATACTGTACCCAGGAAAATGCCCCCTACAGCCACTTTCAGTTTGCTCAGCCTAAGACCTGCTCTATCACTTTGGTGGGTACCCCTTTGAGAAAGTTTTTTTTACAAAAGGCACTCAGCTGCTTTCTGAACTTGAATACCAGGATTAGCTGAGGAAGGTTGATTGTCCAGTCTCCTCCCCCTTACCCCAAGTTCAGATCCATAACTTGACAGGAGAAAGAAAGAAGGGACTTGTGGATATTATAGAAAGGTAGCCTCCAACCAGATAGCAGATCCTCATGAAGGAATGGCAGCCTATGATCTGATGCCAGGCTAGACTGAGAAGACTGTCAGCATTACACCTAGCAAGATTTGCCCTCCTGCAGGTTGCTGTAGGCCACTTGGCTACACACCAGAGCTCAGCCCAACACAGGAAGAGATGAGGGCTAAGAAATCAGAAGGAACAGATCAGGAAGAGATTTGAACACCCCCTGGAAAGTGAATTCTACCAGTCCTTCCAGGACCAGCCATGCACAGGTTTTGAGAACCTGCACCACCAGTCAGTACAGTCCAAAAGCTCCAGATCCTTCACACACACACACACACACACACACACACACACACACACCACTATACATACTTGGCAAAGTTCCCTGAAGTTCTGTGGAACCCTAAAAGAGCAAAAGTGATTTCCTACTGATAGGAAAAGGAAGCAGGTGTTGCAAGGAAGCCAGGACAACTAGAGGCCTTCTCAGTCACTAACAAAGATCAGAGCCTCTTACCTGTGCAATCTCCCAATCAAAGTCAAACAGCATCATACGATACATCTTCAAAGACAACCTAGCCAGGCATGGTAGCACATACCTGAAGTCCAAGAACTGCTGGGAGACTGAGGCAGGAAGATTATAAGTTTGAGCTCAGCTTAGACAATTTAGTAATTTAAGGAGATCCTACCTCAAAAAGAGGGGGGCTGGGGATGTAATTCAATGCAAAGGTCCTGGGTTTAGTCCTCAGTACTGAAAAAAAAAAAGACAACCTTACTGCTTCCTAAAATGTACTCTCCTTTTTGCTCTTGTTGCTTTTGCTATCTTCCCCCACTAGGAACTGCTGTCCTCTGCCATGTACCACCCTGCCTGGGAGCCAGCCAAGTAAGGACTGAAACCTCTGCAAACTGCAAGCTAAATAAACCTTTCCTTCCTTTAAAAAAAAAAAAAAAAGTACATACAAAGCAGTGCTTCTTCAAAGCAAGAACAAGAGGGCTGGGGGAGATGGCACAGTGGAATAAGTGCTTCCCTGGCAAGTGCAAGGGCCTGAGTTCGATCCCCGGTTCTGAAAACAAAAGCAAGAACAAGAAAGATCAACTGTCAGAACTTCTCCTATACATAAATTAAAGGCTGAGGCTTTTGCTTGTAATTTTATTATTAAATCAGCTTGAAATCACAGCTCATGATCACATGAAGGAAAAAGTCCTACATATAGTGAAGCAGCTGTTTGGTCTCAGAGCCAGCGCTGGGTTCCTGTGCATGTGTTGAGCAAGTAATCTCTGCTTGTACCTGGATCCAGATGACCAGAAGAGAGACAGAGAGACAGAGACAGAAAGAGAAAAGGGGAGGGAGGGAAAGTGGAGGGGATCTATCACTGTGGTCTCAGCAGAACTTCCTGCCTCCCCTAAAGGTAAAGGAATACATTCCAGCCCCATCAGTGTGACCCCCCTTTCTGCTAGAATCCAGTGTGTTCCCTCCCTTCTCAGAAAATTTCCTAAGATCTGAATTAAATGCATAAGAAGCCCCTTTTTTATTTAAAACTGGACACCAGTTTCACTGTGATCAAACTGCCAATCACTCTGCCATAATTCAGTAGTACTGTTGGAGTATATGGAAATTTCTCCCTCATCACCTTCTCCCTCCCTCTGGGAGCAGAGACCAGAACAAGTTTGAATCATCTGGCCCCATCATTTTCTGACAAATATTGGCTAAAAGGTAAATGAGGGTAAGAGGCAACCCATTAGTAACAATGTAGGTGGTGGTTTGGCAGTTGGGGAAATTATGGGATGGGGTGAGAAGAAAATGATTTGGGGAAAGAGGTACTCACGAGCACCCTGTGCTTTGTTATCAAAATGTTCCTGAGAAGAAAGCAAGATTCTGAAATGAAGAGAAGCTTGCCCACAGGAAGCAAACAGGACTGCCCTGCAGACACAGAGCCTGCCTAACTCTCCCAGTGAGTGGCACTTGTACTTTCACAGGCAAGGGAGTTGACATGACATACCAAGCTTAGGACACTGTTGGGTGCCTGGGACATTTCCATTCTTGATGTCTCCATGAACCCATCAATGGATCTTTCTTTTCTTTGAATGCTGGAGAAAAAGCAAGAGGACAGGATAAGGCCCTGATCCCCAGCCTCAGTTTAAGAAGAGGGCTTCCCTAGCCAGATGTCATGGTGCAGCCCAGTAATCTCAGCATTCTAGAAGGTTGATACAGAAGAATAAATTCAAGACCAGCATGGACAATTAAGCAGTTTAGTAAAACTCTGTCTCAAAAGAATAAAAATGAAAATGATTAGGGTTGTAGCTCAGTGCAAAAGCCCTGAGTTTCTTACCTAGGATTGCAATTAAATAGATTAAATAAATAAATATATAAATAAGGTACATTTGAAAGTATAAAAGTATATAAAAGAGATTCACCTGTTTAGCAGAAGAGCCTTCCCTGGCTTCCTTGGTGCCTGCAGTACCTGGGTCAGCCTAAAATGACAAGAGGAGGAACCAAGCAGAACAGGCCTGCTGGTGTCAGGAACTTTTATCTGTCCCCTTATATTGGGGACAGCCAATGTGTGTATGTGATGCCCACATTGTTATTCCCTTTCCCCTGTGCCCACAAGAGTCTGACTCCAATTTAAAGATCTCTGGGGAACAGCAGAGCTCTTCTCAATATTAGTTTTTCTTCCTGTTATCTTAGGCCTAATCATCAAATCTTGAGAGTAACCACCACAGGGGTTAAAGGAAACAGGGAGCACAGGAAAGGGAACCCTACCCCCAGAGCAGCTTGCTGAGAAGCCAGCCCAGAGCTAGGAGGAGAAAGGCACTAGTCACTGTCAGTACCACCACAAACCAGGGCTCTGGCTGCCAGAAAACTTCTGTGTCGGTCACAAGCTGAGGTATCATTCTTGAGGGCACCTGAAATGGAGACCACCATCTTACCATGGCCATGCAAAGATGCCTGACCATCCAGACTTTAAAATTCTCCATGGGCTGAGCTGCCTCACACTCCAAATTTGCAGCAGTGTGAGTCCGAGGATTCCTAGGCTGTTAGCACCAAGCAGTCTCCCTTAGAATGGCTTCCCTACCATTCCACCCAAAAGACTAGATCTTCTCACCCTTCAAGTTCTTCCTTCCCATCCCCAAGGGCTTGCAGCCTCCTCACTATAGCTCTGTGAGTGCTGGTGGCCATTGTGCTGGCCTTCCAGGGAAGTAGATGCACAATGATGGTGGCTGTGGTGCTGAGGTGGGGGATGGAGGAGCCAGCATCTGCCACACGGATCAGTAACTCATAGGTACAGGGCTGCTGTGGCCAAGGAGATCCAAACACAGGGTCATTATGCACCAGGACAGCCCCTTGCAGTCTGAATCGGCTCTGATGATTCCCTGAAAGCAGAGTGTCAGGAGAAGGGGGACCACTGTTGGCCTGGCCCTCTTCTACAACTTTATGGCCCCCACAACTCATACCTCCCACAATGCTGTAGGATAAGGCCAGGCGCTGTGGCTCCTGGAGGATCTGGCAGGACATCTTGGTCACTTCCACATTATGGCCCAAGGGAGTGGAGATGGTGAGTTCTTGAAATGGGGGCTCACACTCAGGGGCATGATCATTCACATCCTGAAGAAAAGCCACCAAGTGAGAAAACTATGCAACTCAAGTCCAGCTGCTTCTCCCCTACTACCACAACCAGAGTACAGGCATCAGGCAAGTCAGGCAACAGGTTGTACACTTTGCACAATGAGGCCCCTTCCCTCCAGCCAACCAGTGGAAGAACCTAAGGCACAGCACAGAAAAACAAAACAGAGGCCAAGGCCTCTGGTTCAGTCACCTCAACCTCAATGGTAATGATACAGGAACCCGAACGGTGGTTGGTGGGGTCCCAGTCTTGGCCATGGTCTATCACGAGGATAGTGAGCATGTACAACCTCTGCTGTTCATAGTCTAAAGGCCCTAGAAGGCGAACTTCCCCTAGAGAGGATAGCCACAACCTCAACACAAAGAGCCAACTTTGACTCCCACCCTTCCTCCCAGCCCCAGGTGGCAAGTACCAGAGAGACGGTCTACAGCAAAGATGGCAGGTCCATTGGAGGTGTGGTATTCAACGTTGTTTTGAGGGTAGTCCATATCTGTCCCCACCACATAGCCCAGCAGGGTATGGGGCCGTGCATCCTCACGAACCCTCAACGTGCTTGTGGCACAGGTTGGGGAGAACTCGTTCACGGGTGTCACCATCACCAGTACTGGCACCTCAGCTGTGGGCCATTTGGGAGTCAAAGAGCTGGCTGGGGTATGCCTAGCCTTGCCCTGAGGTTCTGAGGAAGGGGGCATCCCTGCCCTGGATCACTAAGGAGGGAGAAGGGCTGGATAAAAGAAGGTGATAGAGGCAAACATGGCTGTAAGGGGAATTGGGTTTCTGAGGAGGAAAGAGGTCTTTGTCTCAGGCATGGGAGGGTAAAAGTATATCCTGCTTCTGAAAATTCTACCCTAAGTAGGGTTACGCACTGGTCATCTGGGGCTGACCACTGTCATGCACCAGGATAGAAGCTGCAAGCTGGAAGCAGGCTCCAGGAGTGTCACAGTCCAATGTGGTATTCACCTGTCCAGAGGGGACAGAGGGAGGGCTCAGCCCAGGTCTGGAAGAACCTCAGGCTACATTGGGTATCCCAGGCCAGGGCAACCTGATCTTGATCCCATCGTGTGTGTGTGTGTGTGTGTGTGTGTGTGTGTGTGTGTGTGTGTGTTTTGTCGGAACTGGGGATTGAACTCAGACCCTTACACTTGCCAGGGAAGCGCTTATTCTACTGAGCCATCTCCCTGGCCCCTCTTGATCCCATCTTACAGACTACAAAGCAGGTGATCTCAACAACCACTTCCCTACCCCTACTTCCAAGGTCTCTCAGTGCCAATGGATCCTTAGCCCACCCACCCTTCCTGCCCCAGACATCCTACAGATGGGTTGAGGGCTAGTGGGAGCTGGCACCTCTAGAACTCTATCATGAAGGCAGAGGCTGGCAGCATTAAAAGGACTGTGAAGCCGCAGCTGGTAGTGGAGGTTGGTGTCAGGAGAGTCTGGGTCAGTGCACATGAAGGTGCTCAAGATGGTGCCCACAGGTGTGACCTCAGGGACTTCAGTCCTGGTGGTGACAGGGGAGGCAGAGCAGGGGTCTTGCCCAGCAGTGAGTCACAGATCTTTCCTAGCAGTCCAGGCAAGACTCCAACATACTCACACCAGGAGTGTGGGGCTGCAGTGAGGGGGCCAGTGGTTGACAGGCTGCACATTCACGGTGAGGATCAACTTAGCACTGGCCCATGGCCGCAGCTGCTCAAAGGCCTTCACGCAAAGCTTTGTGCTCACCACTCCTGCACTCAGGGTGCCTGCCAGTTCCAGCGGCATGGTGGTCCGCACGACCCCATCAACTGGGCTCCATGAGAAGGGAGGCAGGGTTAGTCCCACCCCTGCTCAGGCCACTGCCTGCCCCAAATGTTCCCACTGACAAGCCACTGACCTAGCTATCCCACCACCTCCTCCAATGCCAGGGCCCATACCAGAATCAAAGCCCTGGCTTAGGAAGGTGAGGTGGTGGTACAGGATTCCAGGTACCCACACTCCTTGAGCCCTCACCTCGTCCAATGGAGTAGAGTGGGCTGGGCACAGGGGAGCAGATTTCATAGCGCAAATCAAAGCCCGTAGCCTGCACCTGAATCACCTCGCTGCCAGGGCCAAGGTTCTCATGTATGATGATATCCTGGGTCTTCTTTCTGAACCAGAAGTGGAGGCCTGACTCCTGCCTGCTCCTGTACATCTTGATGGGGTCTCCAGGCTCCTTCCCAGGGGCTTCCTTCCCATTGAGCTAGGAAGCTCCAGCAACCCAATACTCTATCCCTGCCCCCGATTCCCTAGGGCCAGGCACTGCTACCTCCACCACGAATCCAGGGTCAGGGACCCTTACAGAAAGGAAACCTGGCTGAAATGAACAGGCAAAACCTTCACTGTCAGCATCCCTTTGCAGCTTTGGCCTTGTCCAAAGGTCACTGAGATCTGCAGCTGGAAAACCTGAAGTGGATACCACGTAGGAAAGAGGTTCATGGGATGTATTTACCTCTGTGTTTACACTCAGTACCCACCTGGTGGCCTTCACGAGAACCGCAGTATTCATTCTTGCTGTGACCTGTCACTCTGCTAGTCTCACTGTTTCTGTGAGCTCTGCACTTCTGGGCATAAATTCTTCTACTAGGTTGCAAACATCTCAAGAAAGAGTAATATCTCATTCATAACTGAATGGTTAGATCAGAGTTGCTAAGATCCAGTTAATAAGAGTTAGAATTTTTTTTTAAAGCGTATTTTATTTATTTATTTTACATTTATTTATTGTGTATGTGGCCAGCTCAGCCCACCAGGGGGCAGGGCTGGCTGGCATGTGGTGCTGGGGGATTAGAACCGCGGTCCCTGCTTTGCCAACCTTGTTCCAAGTAGGTGCTTTAGACCACTGAGCCATCTCTCCAGTCCCAGAGGTAGAAATGTTGAAGAGGGAACTTCTCTTAACTCCTCAGTGGCAACTTGACTTAGAACTTTCTCTTAATGTGTGATTAGCCTGAAACACTGTTTTCTGCTAAAGGGGCTGTGGCCCTCCAGGGTTAGGGACCATTCTTCTTTTTAGAACTTCAGAGCCCAGCACAGACCCTAGCCAAAATGAAAGGGCAGTCAGCATAGGGCAGCAAGGGTAGGTCTGTGAGAGGCAGCATTAGTCCAAGAGCCAAGGGGGCTAAAAACAACAAACACATTGTCAGAAAGTGATGGCTCTGCCCAGTCTGTACATATCAAAAGATGAGGGCTGGCAAGATGGCTCAGTGGTCTAAAGCACCTACTTGGAACAAGCTTGGCAAAGCACAGGGACCGCGCTTCGATCCCCCAGCACCACAGGCCGGCCAGCCCCGCCCCCTGGTGGGCTGAGCTGGCCACACACACACACATACACACAAACACACACACAATAACTAAATAAACTTTTAAAAAATAAATAAACAAATAAATAAATTTCTTAAAAAAAAAAAGATGACAGGTCACGCTCACCTTTTGAGCCTGGCCTTTGAGGCCCTGGGTTGGCGCCCGCAGCAAGCCCTTTTCATCGATAGAGAAAGGTCCGGGAAAGTATGGAGGGTCCTGAGCACTGGTAATGTTCATCTGATAAAACAGAGAATCTAGCAGCTCCATGCAGCCCTCAGTGCCCCAAGTACCACTTCCTTCAATAACTCAGAAGATACCTGCACATTAGACCCTCACATGCCCTGCCACTGACTTCTGCCCCAGCCAAGGCTCTCTGCCCTCCACCCTGAACCTTTTCCTGATCTTCAATTCTCTCTGTTTTAAAATTATTTTTTTTTTTTTGGTGGAACGGGGGATTGAACTCAGGCCCTTGGTCTTACCAGGGAAGTGCTTATTCTACTGAGCCATCTCCCCAGCCCCAAATTAATTATTTTTAAAAACGAATTTCTTTTTTGAAGTAGAAAGTACTATAAAATCATCAAGGAAAACTCCAAACACAGGAGAACTGGAAAGAAGAGCTCAGCCCCTAAGATATCCCTGTGGGATCAGCCATGGTTTCTGGGAGAGTTAGCGGCCCTTAATGGCTCTCTCCAAGAATATGCATCCTGCAGATGCTCAGCTGTGTGTAGGGCCCTTCTGCAGGGTGTACCTTGCCAGGAAGAGGCTATGCTGGCTCCCCATCCTTCCCCCACCTCAGCCTGTCATCCATGCTACACTCACCTGTGCTCCCTGGATTTCCAGGCCTGGGAAAAGCAGTGTGTACAGCAGGGCTCCAGGGCTGACCGTCTCTGGCACCTGAATGATTTCCCCAGCTGCCCCGAGAGGAGGTCAGGGAGGCTCTTTTCAAACATGCCTGACCAACCACTCCTGCCTACTTCCCCAGCCTCACCTGGGCTAACAAATCTACCAGCACACTGGATATGGCCAGGATCTCGGTACACATCCAAATAGAGTGATGCCTCCTCCATAAGGTTTCCACATGTGTATTTCAGCTGCAGCTCATAGTGGTTCACTGCAAGGGCATCCAGCCGAGCTGAGCTGCTCAAGGTCACCTGGGGGTGAACAGTGGCATGTGGTGTCTAGGCTCTCTCCTTACAACACCTCTGGCTTCTGGAATTTCAAGTCTGCCCTGGTGCCCCACAGTGCCCAGGTGTACTCACGATCCTACCTTTGCCACATAGATCCCTTCACGCCCAGCAAGGCTGGGTGTGTTGAAAAAGGTGGTGGGCGGCTGCACACGGAGCAACTCCAGAGTGGGCGTGTTGGAGGAGCAGTTGAAGGTGAACACCTGCAGGATAGTACCTGGGCCCTCGCTCTCGGAGACATTTACAAACCAGGTCAGGCTGTGGAGGTCTGTGAGGAGCAGAAACTCAGGCTGAAGGCCTCTCATGTTCCAAAAACCACACTTGTGAGCACAGCCCCATCCTTTTGCCAAAGGACCTGGCCACATCTTAAGGCCAAGTCACCAAGATCCTTTCTTTTTTTTTTTTTTTTCTTTTCAAAGTTTTATTGATAAACATATAGCAATGAGACAGTTTCAAATCAAATCGAAAGTACAGTTTCAACAAATAATACACTGCATATATTCTTCTTAGTGGTTAATTGCTGTACCAAGATCCTTTCTTGTCTCCACAACTGACATTTCACAGATGGGGAGAGAGAACTTGGTTGAGGAAGTAGCCAAGATAAGGAACAAGGCTCAGGGGTTCGAACACTCACCCTTTCCTGCTTCTCCCCCATCCTCCCTCCATGGTAGCCCATTGCAGGGTCATGACTATGAGGGAAACTGGGGCTTCCCTACCCACCAGCTCCTTACCAGAGATAGCCAGAGCCAAAAGAATCACCAAGAGCCTGAGTGGAACCATGGCGCTATGCAGAGATGGCAGAAGAGGTTGTTTGCCAGGCCTACCTGTTGCCAGGTCAGTTGCTCAAACATAGCTGGCCCTGCCCAAATCCCCGTGACTGTAAGCAGAACCCTGGCAGACCTCCAGAGGTCTGGGAAATCTTATCTTCCACGGTCCCCACTGAGGACACTCATGACTACACCTCAAGGAGAAGTGAGAAGAGAAGGCCCAAGCTACAGATTACCATATGTCCCCCAAAATAAGACCTAACCAGAAAATAAGCCCCAATGCATTTTTTCAGGGTATTTACAGTATAAGACATAACCCAAAAATAAGCCCCAGTTAAGATCATCAGCCAGAGAGATGCATTTGGTAATGTCCTTTGCAATAATACACAATGGGTGTATTAAGCTATAAAATAATAGTATTTATATATAGATAGTAGTATTGACATTTGTTCTATTTGGGGTCTTACAAAGGGGACAATATACAGCACACATGTTTTATAAGATTATTTTATAAAAGTCACCCTGAGTCATATACAAAAAGAGTGCAGAAAATCTGTCCACATATCCACACACTAAAAACCAAAGAATCTAGCTGAAGGCCTGGATATCATAGCAGTGTCCTGCATGAGTCCAGCTGAAGACCTAGAGCCTTTAACAGTGCCTTCCAGGAGTCCAGCTGGAGGCCTAGAGCCCACAGTGATGTCTCATGCAGGCCTGTTTCATGGATCTGCACTAGGAAAGCCCAAAGGTCAGTGATAGAAGCTTGAAAGTCTGTGCCAGTGGGATGAAGGATCTGTGCCAACATTTAACTCTTGCTCCCTTGCTCCTCAATCCCCACACTCCTCCATCTCCCTGGCTGCTCTTGCCCCACTCCTTTGCTGGTTTGGCTTCCCCTCCACTGCTTCTGCGTAGTGCAATGCACAGGACTTTGCCTCCACAGCTGTGCTCTCTGTCCACACTCACCTCTCCATGTCATCCAGACCCAAGCTGGAAGTATACTCACCGGCTTTGCCTGCAGTCCATAAGGCTCCAATGCTGACATCGCTCCTGAATGCATGCATGGCTGACCCTGTGTCTCCTCCAGAGTCACATGTCCACACACGATCATTTGGTGTCCCTCCCAAACCCACTCTTCTCCACTCTTTGCTACATCAGTTTATTGCAGTTCCATCCAATTAACTCTTCAGGCTGGGAAGTGCAGAAGTCATGTTTGGTGTTCCTTCCCTACCCACATCATTGAGGCTTGATTTCAATTACAAAACATAACCTAAGTGATCACCCACTGTGGGCCTGCTGGAGCAGGGTCCAGGCCTTTGTCTCCCTTGCCTGATTACAATCATTCTCCCAAGGCAGCTGGGACTATTTAACCAGGCCAGATCATTCACTACCCAAAGGTTCATGCTTAATCGAATCAAGAACAATCAAGGTTAGGCATGGTGATGCATACTTGTAAACCAAGCACTTGGGAGGCTGAGGCAGGAGAATCTGTAGTTCATGGCCAGCCTACATTACATAGCAAGACTCTGTTTCAAAACAGCAGCAAAAGAACAAAATCCACCTTTAAGGCTACTAGGAGCCTTGTTTTGGTGACCTCTTCACTCCTTGTGCTGCTGCCAGATACCCACACTCGGGCCTTTTTATGTTTGGCCCAGCCCAGCTCCCACACCATAAGTCTTTATACCAGCTTGTCCCTTTGCCTAGAACATCCTTCTTCTTTACTTTTCCCTTCATTTGTTCTCCCTTCCCTCCCTTTCTTTTTTTTTAAATTTTATTTATTTATGTGTGTGTGTGTGTGGCCAGCTCAGCCCACCAGGGGGCAGGGCTGGCTGGAATGTAGTGCTGGGGGATTGAACCGTGGTCCCTGTGCCATCTCACCAGCCCCGTTCCCTCCCTTTCTTCTTTCTTTCCTTATTCTTGGTACTGATGATCAAACCAGGGGTGCTCATTCATTAGGCTCTATCTCCAGCCCTTTTTTTTTTTTTAAAGACAGGAGCTGAGGCCGGGGAGATGGCTCAGTGGAATAAGCTCCAACTTGGGACCTATAGGCTCAGTCTTTCCAGTAGCTGGGGTTACATGTATGTAGCATGCACCTGGGTAGAATGTTCCTCTTCTTTTCTTTTTTTTTTTTTTCTTTTTATTTTTTTGTGGAACTGGGGGTTGAACTTAGGACCTTGCCCTTGCCAGGCAAGCGCTTATTCTACTGAGTTATCTCCCTATCCCCTTCTTTTTCTTAAATTTCAAACTTATTTTATTAGATACCATGCAGTGGTGTATATGTTATAATCTTTTAATTATAAATTCATCCAAGAGCAAAGATATTTATTAATTTTCTTTTTTTGAGGGAAAGCTCCTGTTTAAGAGAAGGACATAAGGGGGACCCAAGCAGGTTGCCCCATATTTATTAATTTTCAAACATTCATACACACAGCAAGCCCAATGACCCCCCCCAATTAGTACAGATATACATTTCATATTAGGATGTGATTAAATCCTATCCTTGTAAAGAGACTAACTATAAACTTTTTTTTAAGTTATTTTTCAGGGGCTGGGGAGATGGCCCAATGGAATAAGTGCTTGCCTGGCAAGCACAGGGGCCTGAGTTCAAGCCCCACTTCCACCAAAAAAAAAAAAAAAGGTTTTTTTTTTTCCGTTCAGTGTCTAACAGCTCCAGTTTGCAAAATCTTTCCCTAGTCGTTCCGCCAAGAGCCTAACCAGATATGATCCTCAAGGCCGAACACGAATTTAAGAGATGATTTTTAGTCCTTTAATTCTAAAATGCACAAGAGGCTTACATGGGCAAAGATATCAGAAGCCAAGTAGGAATTTGAAGGAAACTGACTGTAGGCCCTCAGACATGGAGCTAATATATTCACCCTGATCTTCACCTAAAGACATCACTGAAATAAACTGAAGGTCCACTCAAGAATGGCTCTTCTTGGGGCTGGGGAGATGGCTCAGTGGAATAAGCGCTTCCCTGGCAAGCGCAAGGGCCTGAGTTCAATCCCTGAGTTCAATCCCTGAGTTCAATCCCTGAGTTCAATCCCTGAGTTCAATCCCTGAGTTCAATCCCTGAGTTCAATCCCTGAGTTCCCGCATAAACAACAACAAAAAAAGAATGTCTCAGGGGCTGGGGAGATGGCTCAGTGGAATAAGCGCTTCCCTGGCAAGCGCAACGGCCTGAGTTCAATCCCCAGTTCAAAGAATGTCTCTTCATGACGGCTCAATCAGGTTGTATCCTAATGCCACCTCCTCTGAGGAATCTCTCTCAAACCAGCTCATTAGTATTTATTCCCCCATATTTTCCTGCCTGCTGATAGGTCCATTCAGTCTCTACGTATACTGTACCCTTGAACCTAGCCTCGGATCCTGGAGCAAACTCACGCGACGGGCAGTGACCTTCTGGTTGTAGGGCGCCACCCACCCTGCTTGTGCACCCTAATCTGCACACTCCTCTTGGGAGAAAGGGAAGCGGGTAGCGGTGCTTCGCCGTGCTCCCACTAGAGGGCGGTGCAGCCTAGTTTGGAACAGATGTGGAGCGAGAGGGCGCCTGCTGGGACTTCACCGAGGCCGGACCCTAACGCCTCGACATCCCCCAGAGTGTCAGAGGGGCCGAACTCCAGTCCTATCATTGCCGGGGACTGTTGAGACCAGTCTCAAGAACAGGTCAGTCCTCGAGTGAACCACAGTTTCACCGGATCCGGCGATCTTTGTCTTTCTGCCTACACGTGGGCGCAGCACGGAGTCCCCGTGGGAGAGATCGCTAGTTCACTGTGGGACAAATGGGAAGGCTGAGGCCACCGCGAAAAAGCGAACGTCCCTTGTGCCGCACCAGGGAGCTAAACCTCCCCACCGGATGTAGGGGGTCCTGGGCTGAACCTCAGCCGGCTTCCATCTACCGCCCCGCCCTCCACGCCGAACCGTTGCAGATGGTTGGGAAGCCGAGGTCGCCCATCCGAAGGAGTTCGAGGGGCGGTGCTGCACGGGGCGGTGTCGAAGCAGATCTGCCCCGCCTCCATTGGCTGCGGCGCAGGGGGCGGGGCGGGGCTGCCAGATGTTGGGGCGGCGGCGGCTGGAGCTTCTAGGAGTCCGGGCGGAGAGCGAGGGCGCCAGGCCGGCAAGGCCGCTAGGCAGTGTTCGAGGTGCTTCTCCGGCTCGCGGAGGCGCTGGCAGGCCTGGCGGGCGCTCCGGCACCGACATGCACAGCGCGCGGCTGGACGGCTTCCTGAGCCAGCTCCGCTGGGAAATGGTGAGGCTTGGGAGTGGGTGTGGCACCGAGGACGCGTGTGGGGTGCCCGGTGCCGCCCAGCCTGGGTGCCCACCCGAGACGGGAGGGGGCGGGGCGGCCAGGTTGCCCGAGTCGAGTTTTAGAGGGTTGAGAGCTCCCCTGGGCATCAGGTAACAGCAGCCCAGCTGGCCATGTCACTGGTTATTGCGGGAGGAGAGTAGTTGGAGGACTTCTTTTGGGCCGGACCAAGGCATGCCAACGGTCTAAAGAGGCCTGGTGCTTCTGTGGACGCCCCTTACCTCAGTCTACCTCCTTCTGCTACTCCTCACCTAACAAGCACGCTAGCACTCTCTCGTTCTGAAAGACAATTTGGGCTTTGGGGATCTGCATCCCACAAGACGCACAGGCCGCCCCTCCCCAAACCCGGGCAGGACTTATTTCCCAGTGCAGGCCCTGAGGGCGGGTGCTGACTTGCCCGGCCCTGCATGCTGCAGCCTGCTGCACTGCCACCAGGTCTGCTCGACTGCCAGGGCCCCATCCCTGCCCTTTCCTCACTTTTCACCCTGCTGCCCAGACCAGCAGCCCTTTCAAATCTCTAGACCCTCTGTTCTCAGGACCGATTTGGCCAGGCACACATGGGTCACAGGCCATACTCCTTCGACTTCTCTCTCTTCCCTTCAGTTGTGTAGCCGGAACACAGGCTCATCCCCATTGCCTGGCCCCCTGCAATCACCCCCCAAAACTGACCCAGGTGTGCAGGCAAGCCACCAGCTCGGGGCCTCAGATGCCCTGGAACAAGACTCTGTCTGCTGTGTGGAGGAAGAGGAAGAGGAAGCCTTGGCAATAGAAGACAGGGGTACAGCCTTGAGGGGTCACAGGGAACACAGTCTAGATTGGGACTCAGGCTTCTCAGAGGTGTCAGGCAGCACATGGCGAGAAGAAGAGTTGCCTATACCTCAGCATCTAGCGTACCAGGGGCGGCCCCGTCAGAGTCAGCGGCTCTCAGTCAGTGGTCTCCCACTGTCCAGCATGGCCTCTGTAAGCAGCACTCCGCCTGCACAGCGTCCACGGCCCAAGTCCACACCAGATGCCTGCTTGGAGCATTGGCAAGGACTGGAAACAGAGGACTGGACAGCAGCTCTACTAAACAGGGGTCGCAGCCGTCAGCCTCTGGTGCTAGGGGACAACTGCTTCGCTGACTTAGTTCAAAACTGGATGGAGCTGCCTGAGGCAGCAGGTGAGGGGAGCGATGGAGGTGCACCCCGTGCTCGTCCTCGGCCCCCCCAGTTCTTGCTTGGCCTCTCTGAACAGCTGCGGCGCCAGCTGGCAAGGGCTCGGCGAGCAGCTATGGCAGGAAAGCGGCTCTCATGCCCACCTCGATCAGATCCTGAACTGCCTGCAGACGTCTCACGATTTGCAGCCCTCATGAACTGCCGCAGCCGCCAACCCATCATCTGCAATGATGTCAGCTACCTCTGACCCTGCCCTCCAGCCTGGGACAATAAAAGCCTTTTTCTACACTGTTGGTTCCATAACCCTGAGGCTCCAGAAGGCAGCTCCAGCCCCACCAGGCACAGTCCAGGCAAGCAAATCTGAAGTCTTTTCTTTTCCTTCTAGGTTCTGTCTTGCCCATGTCATGCCCATGTGTTCCAGTGCCCCATGTCCTATTATCCATCTTCACTCATGGCTTCCTTCAACAAATTTTATTGAGTGACTGTGGATTCAGGGCTGCATGAAGCCGAGTATAACAGTGCCTCAGCACAGCTCATAGTGCAGAGGTGGGAAGGCAGTGTTGTCCTCCTCACCCTCACAGCTCAGCTCCAGCACCAGCACCCGCTGTCCAGATTTAGGCACCCAGTCTGTCACCTGCTGAACCAGTTCTGTCACCCTGATGGGGGGGGGGGTTAGAGATTAGGCAGGTGAACTGAGGAAAACAGAAACAACCTGACATGAACTTGGGGATGCTGGTGAGCCCTCTGGAGCTCAAACCAGGAGCAGGAGTAGCTCAAGACAGGAAACATCTGAAACTATTTTAGGAGCAGCTGGTGGGGCGGGCAGGAGGCAGGAAGCTGCGGATCCCCTGGGAGTGGGCCATGAAGGGGGGCTGGGCAGGGTGTGGGGAGCCAGTGCGAGGCCAAGCAGGCAGCCCCTAAAACAGCCCCTCCTTCAAGCCTTCAGCCCTGCCCCACCCCCAGCCCATTTGCTAGCTCCGTTTGGTCAAAGAATGTTTCAGGAAGGTGTAAGGGGCCCAAAGTGGGGTCAGAAAGAAGAAAAGCTGTATATCCCCCCCCACCACCACCTTCAACCTCTAGAGGCAGGCAGGGCCTGGCCACAGCCATGTGCAAGCTCACCTGAGGGGCAAGTACTGGGCCTGATTTTCAGGGGACTCCTGGGCTGAATAGAGCTGGGCATGGCCACATAGCAGCATCTTCACTTTCAGGCCATATTGTTCCTAGAAAAACACAGGTTAGTGGCCTACTGGGCCAGACTGGGCAGAGCTGGGACAGAGTAGGGAAAGGGCAAACCTGGAGATGGGTCAGCAGTGACTCCAGTGTCCTCTCAGGCTGCCCAGCAGGCACCTTCAAGCAATCCCATTTGGTCCACTGTAGCTGATGGAACTGGGGGTGGAAGTGGGGAGGAGAGAGAGACTGCTTATCCAAGTTGCAACCCGCATCCCAGTTCTTAGCAGCTTCTCTTAGGGGAGGAGCTGGACTAGAGGCAGGAAGCAGAGCCAGGGAGTGGGGGGTGGAAGGTAGAATCTGGGCCCAGGCTGGGGCCAGCACAGGAAATGGGGCTATGGGGCCTGCTCAGGGAAACAGATGATCCATCATGAAGGCCAGTTGCTGGGGGTGGGGGCAAAGGGGTGGTGCTTCCTGAGGAAGCCAGAGCCAGGCTGCTGTAGTCTCTGATAAAGCTGTGTGTTCCTCAAATGCAAGGTTGAGGGTTAGGGCCACATCCTACTTGCCCATCCTTACAGGACTTTAACTACTTCTGTATACACCAGGGCCAAGGGTATGGTGACCATCGACCATCAGGGCCCTCATGGCCTAGAGTAGGGACACATGCAGTCCACAGAGGCCACCTCTTCCTGTCATATTTCCTTCCCTTTTTCAAGAGTTAAAAGCTTCTGGTGTCCAGAGCTGAGGACGGAAAGGTGGCCAGCAGCTAGAGTCCAGGACAGGGAGGCCTTGCCTGTCCCTCAGACAACACACTGGATTTGAGCTGAGACTAGGCTAGACACAAGAAACCCCCTGCCCCGCCTCTGTTCCATGGACAAAGCCAGCTTGTGTGCTGCTCAGAGGTGGGGCACTATACAAAGGGGCTCTGTGTCTGTGTCCAGAGGGACCCTAGGGCTACCCAGCAAAGCCTAGGGCTGGCCAATGACCTCTGCCCTCTCTCTTGGGCATTCTCTCTGCCCCTTTTCCTGTTCCTGGAGGAAATGGCAATTACTGCAGAGCCTGTGCACACATTAAGAGGTATTCTCATTCCTGCACTCACAGGAGCACACATGCACACAAGCCCAGGAACACCCGCACGTATACCCACGTGCACATCCATGCATGCCTGCTTATGGAAGAACCCTGGACTCCCATCTGGCACACAGAGATACAAGCTTGCTACCTCCATGCCCACACACCAGAGATGCCTGGACTCTGGCAAACTTAACGTGTGTGACCCAACCACACACTCCTACTGGGCTGCAGATCCACACTCCTGGTGGCCAGCCTGGTGCCTTTTAACTGAGCCTTGAGGGGACAGGCCAGGGCCTTACAGGGAGAATATAGACTTTCTGGGGCTGCAGCCCTGGTTCCCCTTTCCTACCTCTTCTCCCTTGCTAAGTTAACCCCTCAGACACTCCTGGGAAGGAGGAGGCTGTGGGGATGTCTGGCTCCACTAATGAGTTAAAGCTGCAGCTCCCCCAGACCCTGGACTCTTTGTTTGTGGTGGGGTTGGGGGTGGGGAGGGTGTAGGGAGGTGGGGAGTGGTTGATGGCTGCTTCCTGTGTCTGACAGGTCCCAGCCTGGCTTCCTACCAGGAAAGGGGCCAGAGCTCCCTCTTGAGGACTTCTCCACCCTCAAGGTTCTAGAGAGCACCAAAAAGCTACAGTGGGCCTGGCCTTGTTTTTGGTTTTATACTGGAGATTGAAGCCAGAGCCTCTGCCTGCCCTTTTTATTTCATTTTGAGACAGGAGCTCACTGAGTTGCTCAGGCTACCCTTAAATTTCTTGCCTCAGCCTCCTGAGTAGTTGAGATGACAGGCCTGTGCCACTATATCACACTGAAGAGTGGGGCCTAATGGGGTGGGTTCAACGAAAATCCAAGACTAGTGGGAGTGGGGATAAGGTGTCAAGGGCTCACCTTCTGGATGGCTGGAGCAGAAGGTACTGAACGTTGGATGTAGTTTTTAGCCAGGTCCAGGTAGGTATGACGAAAGGCAACAGGTCGTGGCCTGCTCACCAGTTTATATAGCTCTAGGCCCAGCAGGCCGGCCACTGCTGCTGTCGTGGTGGCAATGGCTGGGATGATCTGGCTCACAGTTCTCTTGCTCTGCCAAGGACAGGAGATCTGGTCTGGCCCACTGAATGGCAGCTCTAAAGTTTGGTCCCCATTCTCATGCTTAAGCCCCAAGGGCTGGAGTTACCTGAGCATAGTCTACTGGTTCTGAGATTCCATAGTTCTGACACCTCAGGCTAGCTGCTGCTCTCACAAAGTCTATGCGGAAGTTGTCACATTCGTCCTGTAAGGCCCAAGTGACAGCAGTGTGAACACCATAGCAGTTCCCCTTACCATGACCTCCCCTGTGCCAGGGTGAGGGCTTCTAGAAGCTCTACAGGTGGGTTTTCACCAATTCCCCTTCACTGCACAATGAAGCTGAGGGGCCGGGGAGACAGCTCGGTAGAATAAGCGCTTGGTGTGGGTCCTGAGTTCAATCCCCAGTACCACAAAACAAACAAACAAAAACAGTGAAGCTGAGGCTCAAGGAGAGTGAGCTGCCTGTAGGGCCCCACTGGGAGGAGAATTTAGTCTCCTCTTCTGCTCCTCACCTTCCCCCACAATCTTCCCAGCCCAACTCCTCACCCCACAGAGATTCCTACCTTTTCAAACACCAGGGGCTTCAGGGCAGGGCCTTTGCTCCAGACTTTCAGGAATTCTTGCAGTTCTTTTAACTGTTCAGGGCCTGTTGGGGGAGTAAGTGCTAGGTGTCCTTACTCTGCTCCTATGTTCTTCCTGGAACTTGGTACCTATTCTTGGTGTTTGCCAAGACTGTCACCATTCCTGATCAAACTAAGGAGCCCACTAATTGATGATACAGTCTCTTCTCCAGCCTTCCCCATTCTGAGCATGTGCGCACACCTGTGTGGTTGTCCAGAGCTATACATCCCCCAGGGCTTTTTTTATTCTAATATTCTCCCAAAGGGACTGGAATATGTAGTAGGCAACAGAGAGAGGAGCCCCTGGTGGGGCCAGAAGATGGGGCTAGAGAGAGGCGAGGCAAGAGGGCCTGAGAGGTAGTAAGTTGGTTGTAGGGACCCAAGACCCTATATTCTTTCTGCAGCACAGGCTGAAGACAGGATCAGACCTTCAAGTGACAGGATGGGGACAGGACCAGGAGTCTCATCAGATTCAGATAGTTCCTTAATGAAGGTGGGGGCCAGATGCGGGGAGTCAGTCTGTAGCAGGATCTTCAGCAGCTCCCTGAGTGCAGTCTGATCTGATGATCCAGGCAGCTCATGCATCTGGGCATACAGGTTGGCAGCTGCCATTATGTAGAGGAGGTGCATGTCCTGCAGCCAGACCAGAGCAGAGGCAGATGCGCGGGTGGGAATGAGCACATACGAGTGGACGGGGTGGGGTCCACTGCCCATCTGTGGGTCTGTTGAGTGTTTGCTTCACATATGGACACATATATGTGCAAACATGGCTCTCTATCACCATCTGCATGTCTCTATCAAGGCTTTCCAGAGAACCCCCACTCACTTGCATGATGTCAAATTTCAGGGGCTGGGGACATCGTTTGGGACCTGACCAGAATGGAGTTCCATCCTCAAGCACCTAGGGACACAGAGGCTGCTAAGTTCAGTCTAGTCACTCCAAGTCCTCAGCCACTCAACCCTTGACCACCCACTTTATCAGGTGGGAAGAGCCTCCGCAGCTGTACGATGTCATCATAGAAGCGTAGTTTCCAGTGGCCAAGGGCCCACACAACACAATCTTGCCAGCTCTGTGGGCGCACTTGTAGGACACCCCGTACCACCTGTAGTGAGGTCAGCATCTGTGGCTCATCCACATCTGTCAGGGAAGTGGATGCCCTGCTAAGAGAGGAGAGAGTTGGAGGCTGAGCCCTGGGCTCAGAGCCTGGAAGTTCCCTTCACCTCTGTTGGGGTGCTTACTGTTGGTAGCGGTTGATGGTCTCTGCGGGTAGTTGGAAGAGTCCCTCAAATTCATTCCAAGCCCACTGTGGGGGAAGGAGGACCATGAGCTGTCAGAGGAAGAGCAGGTCTGCAGCTGCGTACTGAGCCTGGTGGGGTGGCACGCGCTTACCTGCAGACTATGTTTGTATGTGCTAGGGAAGAACCGCATGGTGCAGACGAGGGTGGGGGCATCCTCAGAATCCTCATCTGAGGCAGGGCCTTTATAAACCTCAGTCACATGTGGCACAAACACTGAAGCACTGCCCTTTGTGCCCTCTGTGCCTGCCTCTAGCATTGGCTTCAGGTAGTGGACGCAGCGAGCAGCCAGGTAGTGCCCTGGCAAGGAAGTAAACAGTCAGAGTGGGACTGGCACAGACTTGGGCAAGGTGCTAAGCTCTGAGTTAAACACTCACGAGCCTCAAAACTGTCCACGGCAGCAACCACACCATCTACACAGGAGAAGAAGTTGTCATCATAGATGTTTTCTGTGGTATGATCTAGGACTTGTGTGTGCACAGTCACCTGTATGTCTGGGTTCAGATCTTGGGTAGCTGCTGCAGCTACCTCTGCCTTGGGTTTCTGAGAAGAAGGGAGAAAGATATTGGGTACCAGGGCATTGTGGGAGGGCAATACAGAACACAGATATAGGAGGGGCTGGCACTTACGCCAATGTCTTGTTGCCTGAAGAGGAACTGACGACTGAGGTTGGAGTGCTCAATGTGGTCCATGTCTACAACAGTCACACCTCCACTAGCTCCAGCTCCCAGGCCCACTAGGGCAAAGCCTTTGAGCAGCTCACAGCCAATGGCACCAGCACCCACCTATTGTGAGGAGCAGCTTTAACTGGGGGCCTGAGCAGCTTTAACTGGGGGCCTGACCTGGCCCTCCCAAAGACATGCCCACCCTCACCCACAGCTCACCAGGAGGTAGCGCTGGCAACTCAGTGTCTCCTGAAAACCAGCCCCAAACACTGCAATTTGCCCATCATAGCGACAGTCTTTCTAGAGGACACAGAGAGGAATCTGTGCTGCCAGCTTATACTGTATCTCTTTGTTCCCTGAGTTGTTAACTCAGGACCTCAGGATCATTCCTCATGCTTCTCCTCCAACCCTGATTTTGGATAAGGTTTGCACCCCCACCCCAAGTCTCACCAAGGCACAGTCCTTAGGACTGGGAAGGAGTTCTTCATCTTCTGGAAGACAGTCAAGGGCATCAAAGTATAGCCACTGGTCCAGGGGCATGAACTTTTTGGAGATTGCCTAGGGGCCAATACTTCAGTCTGAGGGAATCTGTCAACTCCTAAGCCCCTCAGACCCAGCTGAGGACTGCGCCTAGGCTGGTGAACCCTCTAGGGCTGGTACATACTGACCCACGAGTCCCCCTCCATACCCTTCCCTGTTTGTGCCTACCTTCAAGACTTCCTGGGCAGCCACTCCTCCCAGAATGGCTGCCATGGGGCTCAGGACACCAGTACTACTCAGAGCCACTGTCCGCAGTAGTGCCTCATCCAGTGGCTCTTCTACCCCATTCAGTGGTCCCAGGTTCTGAGCAAGGGTTACCATGATCTCTGCATCAACCTGTGAGATGGGTGTCTGTGGGTACAGCATCCCCAACCTGAGTACCACCCTCCACACAAAGTCTTCAGGTAGCCAGCCAGCCATCCTGTTCCACGTAAGAGGAAGCAGAAGGCTAAGGAAGAAGGCCTGGCACAGTTACCAGCCTGGATAGCACCACCAGAGGATGCCAAGCACAAGACGGAGGCCTGGAAGACTACCAATCTGGATGCAGCTTTTAGTTTGTTTAGAAAAGAACTGACTGAGATCACGAAACTATGTTCCTGGCACTTTCATGGCCCCAGTGTCTAGTCTAAAGATAGCGGTAGGCTAGGGAGATAGCTTAGTGGCACAATGCCTGCCTGGCAAGTGCAAGGTCATGAGTTCGATTCCTGGTACAAACAAATAAAATTTTAAAAAGAGATAGTGGCTTTCAACTAATTATAGTGGCATATGTCTATAATCTCAGTTACTTGGGAGGCGGAGGCAGGAGGATTCCAAGTTTGAGGCCAGCCTGATCAACTTAGTAAGGCTCTGTCTCAAAACAAAAACAAAGACAAAAACAGAGAACTGCGTGCATGGTGGTATACACCTCTAATCCCAGCACTGAGAAGCCTGAGGCAAGTGGATGGCTGAGAGTTTGAGGCCAGCCTGGGGTAGAGTGGGAGTCTGTCTTAAAAAAAAAAAAAAAAAGAAGAAGAGGTGGGGCGCTGGGGAGATAGCTCAGTAGAATAAGCACTTGCCTGGCAAGCACAATGGCCTGAGTTCAATCACCAGTTATGCAAAAAAAAAAAAAAAAAAAAAAAAGAAAGAAAAGAAAAGGAGAGAGAGTACTTGACCAGCATGTGGCACAATACCCTAAGTACCCTGGATCATTCCCCACAACAGTACACCCCAAAAGATAATGGTTTTCATGTCCTCTTTTAGAGCAGATGCACTAGGGTGAAATAGCTCAGTGGACTAAGTGCTTAGGTAAGCGCAAGGGCCAGGGTTTGATCCCTGGCACCCCATGCCACACTGGCCCCGCCCCCGGGGAACACTGAACTGGCAATGGAGCCCAGGTGTGGTGGTGCATGCCTATAATCCCAGCACTAGTAAGGCTGAAACAGGAGGATCACTACAAGTCTGAGCTGCATAATGAGACCTGCACAAAAAAACAAAAAACAAAAAACCAAAAACAAAAACAAAAAAAAAGAGTGGATGCATTGCCTCTGGGCTATAAATGTGGACCATGAATGGTCATAGAGGTGAGGTTTGGTAGGTGAGACTCCAGGCTGGAGGTGGTGCTGTGGTTACTCACAGGATCCCAGGGCTGCAGCGGCCGACCGTAGAGGTGCTGGAACTTGTGTAGTGCACGAAAGGCTTGATGCAGACAGTGGGCACGACGGACTTCCTGGGCCCTTGGAGCCACGACACAGGGCTGGAGCAGGGCTCTGTCCAGGGGCTTCTGCAAAGGGCAGTTCAGTGTCAGGTCCAGACACTGCCTGCCACTGCCACCGCTTCGAACCACCCCTGCCTCTCACCCCCTTTCAGATGCACATGCACTCACATGTCTCACAGTCTCAGGTCTCTTGACTTCAATGACAGCCCCACCATGTAAGTAAGGGGAAAAAGTTGATGTGTCCCCGATCTCCAAGGACTGATCCTCTGGGAAAGATCCAGCCAATAGGTTAGGACCCTTGAGCCTGAGTGTTTCTCACTGCCATCCTGCCTTGCATAATATATGTCCTATACCTTGCTATACCCTGGGAAAAGGGAAGAAGAAGCCTGCTCCAAGGATTGGGTATGTGCATTCCATGGGGATGGAGGGGGGTCAGCTTACTCTGCACACGGATGGGTCGGGGAGAACATCCATTGAGCTCAACCATGCCTTTGATGCCTGAGAAAGTCACCAAGTCCCCATCACTGAAAGAGTGTTCCTTGTCCTCTCTTCTCACAGTGAGGATGCCAGGGAAGCCCTGGGTAAAAGGTGGCTTTGCTCAGGAGTGCCCATACCTGCCTTTCACAGGCCCTGGCAACCCTTTCTGGCCAGCAGTAAATGTTTATGTCCTTGCACTTACCTGGGTGATGTGCTGGATGCCAGCTGTCAGGGGTTCCACCTCTGTAGGATCATGTACTATGAATTCCTCACCAAAGTCACAGAACAACTGCCTAGTACGAAGTGACAGGGGTCACTGAGTTGGCTCATACATTGTGATTAAGGACAGGGAGTACTAGGAGAGACCCGGAGGGCTCAGAATGAAAGAGAAAGACCTGGAAGGTAGAGTTTGGGGGTGGGGGTTAGTACAGCAGATCTGTAGGCTAGGGTGAAGGAACCAGAGAGGTGGAACTGGGGGCTAGAATTGGAGGGGATAATGGGACAGACCTGAGGCTGAGTAGGAGGTCCATGGAGCAAACCCACAGCTGACGCAGCATGCAAACAAATGCTGGCTAAGATGTGCTAGGCAGCCAGCAAGTCTTACCCCACAAGGCCCCGGGTGTCAGTCACTATAAAGCAGATTCCATGTTTGTGGCAAAAGTCACCCACCATCAGCTGTTCCTCCAGTGTCGAGGCAGTCAGCACTACAACCTAGGCAAACATCGCAATCAGCAGGACCAGAGTCACTGCCCAACCCTCCTGTTGTTGAAGACTGGTGTATGTGGGGGTGCTGGCCTGGAAGCTGGGACCAGGGAAAGCACCTGGAACTTTCGCAGTAGGTCCTCAGTGATGTCACTTCTGTGGATGAAGACCTGGACAGCTTCATTGAGTTGAGCTAAGCGTTTCTGAGAGGCCTCAGCCCTGCTCTTTCCCAAATCCTTTTCTGAGAGAAAAAACTACAGAGAGACCCAGTAAGTACAGTTTGAGCAGAGACACCCCCCCCCCTGCCCCAGGTCCTGCCCTCCTCTGACCTGAGAACTGAAAGCCACCATGGGCCCTTACCTGAGCAGCCAGGTCAGACCAGCAGGTAGGATGGGGATCGTGCAAGGTAAGGCTGCCCACACCCATCAGGACCAGGTTCTTGGCCACCTCAGCCCCCAGGCCCTGCAGACCTGACAGCAGGACCTTGGCTTCTCGAATTCTCTGCATGGCAGGTAGACCCAGCACAGGGCTGTGGACAGGCAGCAGATGGGCAAGCAGTTGAGACCAGAAATCTGAAGGCCACCCACTCCCTCCCTTTCTCACCACAAGGCTCACAGCTGCCTGGAGTACAGCTCCCTGTCCAGCCACTTGGAAGAAGCGTCAGGGACAGCCATCCTCAATCCTGGGGCTTGACAGTAGCTGCGGTGCTCTCAGCTCTAGTTCTGTGAAGGGAGAGGAGCCAGCAGAGGTTGCTGCTAGGGCAACAAGAACACTGCTTGCCTTTTCCTGATTCCTGTTAGTTCAAGGGGAAACAAAAGTGAAAGCAAAACTGAACTGCGAAACTAGCCAGTCCACAGAGGTCAAGCCCTCAGCCAGCCAAAGGGGGTCTCTCCCAGGGATGAATCCCAGCCCTGTAAAGGGGTGGTCATGCTGAATTACCCCCAAGGGGGCAGCCACAGAACAGCCAAAATCACATTTGTCCTGATATGCTTTTTTTTTTATTTTTTTTCATGCCCCACCTCTCCAAACCCTCCCTGTCCTGATATTCTTTAAACTTTTGTTTTGAAATAATTGCAGACTCACAAGAAGTTGCAAAAATAGTAGAGAGGGTTCTCAACTATCCTTCCCAGGCTTGTCTTCTTACCTTCTTAAGTACTTGTGAAACCAGATTTCTGGAGGATAGATTGTAGCTCCCCACAAAACTCCTGTGAGAGATAAACCAAGAGCTGTCATGGGAGTTATTTGTTTTTGCAGGAGAACTGAACTAGGGACCTATTCACTGAGCCATACTCCCAGTTCTTCCAGTTTTTTAATTTTTTTTAATTTATTTTATTTATTTATTTATTTATTTATTTATTTATTTATTTTGTGGAACCGGGGATTGAACTCAGGTCCTTGCACTTGCCAAGGAAGCACTTATTCCACTGAGCCATCTCCCCGGCCCCAAAAATTTTTATTTTAGAACAGAATCTCACTAAGTCACTAAGCTACTCAAGCAGGGCTCTAATTTGTGATCCTCATGCCTCAGCCTTCTAGAGTTCTGGGATTACAAGCATGAGTCAACATGCCTCATCATGAATTATTTTGGTTTGTTTTTTAACTCAGGTGAAATTCCAATGACAAAATAAATCATTTTGGGGTTTGGGAATATGCTAGAGCCAGCATGTATGAGGACCTAGCTTCAATCCCTGGCAAATCATACAAAAAATTTAAAGTATACAATTTAGTGGCATTGGCCAGGCATAGTAATGCACACCTGTAACCCAGTAGTCAGGAGCCTGAGGCAGGAGGATCACTGTGAGTTCAAGGCCAGCTGGAACAGCATAATAAAACCCTGTGTCAAAAAGACAAACAAGGGCCAGTGGCAGCAGACTAAGTGTCTGCTTAAGCAAACATAGGGACCTGGGTTCCATCCCCACATCCTGGGCAGCCCCCACTCCCTGTGTGTGTGCTGAACCGGCCATGGAGTCCAGGCGAGGTGACGCAAGCCTGTAATCCCAGCACCAGGGAGGTTCAAAACAGGAGGATCACTAGGAGTCCAAGCTATGTAGTAAGACCCTGTACCAAATACACACACACACACACACACACACACACACACACACACGACAAACAAAAGACAAACAAAATGAAACAATTTGGTGTCATTTAGTACATCTACAGTGTCATCTAATCATTACCTCTCTTAGCTTGAAGAGTTCATTAGGCCAGGCACAGTGGTATAAACCTGTAATCCTAGTACTCAGGAGGTTGAGGCAATAGAATCACTGTAAATTCACAACCAACCTGGGCTACATAGTGAAGTTTTAAGGCCTGCCTGGACTACATGGTGAGACTATGTCACTAATGAAACAAAACAGGGGCCGGGGAGATGGCTCAGTACAATAAGCGCTTCCCAGGCAAGCGCAAGGGTCTGAGTTCAATCCCGGGTTCCACAAAAAAAAAAAAAAATTTCATCTCTCTAAAGATATCTACTTCGTAGATATAAGAATTAAAAATGGCAATCTAAGCACCTGCCTGGCAAGCGCAAGGATCCAGGTTTGATCCCTGTTACCACATGCTATGTGGCCCAGAATGCTAAACATGTTGTGCTGGCCTGGAAACCGAGCGAGGTGGCACACACCTGTAGCCCTGGCACTGGGGAAGCTGAGACAAGGGGATCTCTACAAGTTTGAGCTTTGCAATGAGATCCTATACCAAATAAATAAATAAATGATTTTTAAAAAAAATTTTTAAAAAAGGTATCTACTTCAAATATATGTTAAGTAATTATAGCTCATTCCCACCCCCAAGGTGGTCCTTTAACAAATACTACTGGGGCTGGGGAGATAGCTCAGTAGAATAAGCACTTGCCTGGCAAACACAAGGTCCTGAGTTCAATCCCCGGTACCGCAAAAAAAAAAAAAAACCTACTGCTATGCTTGCTGCCTGTAGAGATCTATTTGTGATGTTTCATGTAAAAGGAAGTAATGGCAAGCAGTAACACCAAAAAACACCCAGGATTTGGAGGCAGATTTATTTATGTCCACAGACACTAATTAGGATTGTTCCCAAAATATCAGACCCCAATCTCTAGTGGTCTAGGGCTTATATGGGATAGGCAAGCAGGGAATACAGAGGCAGAATGGCTTGTGAACTAGGGATTAGTTCT